GGACAGAGTAGAATTGCCCCATTGGGTTTCCAAGCCTATAATCTTTACAAAAGCAGACTGCCATATCTTTCTCCTGCGGAGCGGCTGGTGGGTTCGGACTGCCAACCTTTGGTTAGCAGCCAAGTGCTTAACTACTGAGCCACGAAAGCTCCTTGAACTTCGAAATACTGGACCATTTATTATTTATGAGGCCTTTGTCAAGTTATTAACTTTTTTTAAGTTTCCATTTTCTCAAAGGTAAAAATGGAGATCATATTATATATCTGTTTGGGTTGCTGAGAGGATTAAATGAAATAATCCAAGTGAAATGCTAAGCACAGTGCCTGGCGTATAGTAACGCATTGATAAATATCAGTTATTAATTATTATTAAAAACTACCTCCTGGTTGGTAGTGGAAGGTAACTCAGGGGAGAAGAACAGATCTCTATAAATGCCTTTCTTAATCAACACTCCACTCCACATATGCTGGTTGAAATTAGTGTTCATTACTAATGAATCTCTTTTTCACTTTTGTCATTTGCTCAATAGTTGTACGGTTATCTAAATGGTCTTCATGTCTGCACCCTCGTAAAAGTGTCTTCAGATTATAAACTAGTGGTCACGGGCTTTGCCTGCTTTGGATTCATTGCACTTGGCCTAGAACCCAGCACATTTCCCCATAGCTTCAGTCTTCAGAAGGCACTTTATTAATTGTTGTTAGTTGCCGTCAAGTCACCTCCTACTCATGACAACCTGATGTACAACAGAACAAAATGTTGCCCAGTCCTGTGCCATCTTCATGGTCGTTGGTATGTTTGAGTCTATTGTTGTGACTGTTGGGTCAATCCATCTCATTGAGGACTTTTCTCATTCTTGCTGACCCTCTACTTTACCAAAAATTATGTCCTTTTTTAGCTTTTGGTCTTTCCTAATGACATGTCTAAAGTTGGTGAGTAGAAGTCTCTCCATCCCTGCTTTTAAAGAACGTCTGGCTAAGACTGGTTTGTTCAATCTTCTGGCAGTCCACGGTATAGCCAATATTCTTTGCCAACACCACAGTATGAACACGTCAATTCTTCTGACTTCCTTTTTCACTATCCAACTTTCACATGCATATGAGGCTATTGGAAAGACTTTGGAGATTAGCAAGTCCCAATTTTCCTTGTTCGCACAGGGAAACAGGCCTAGAATATGTGTCTTGCCCCACACAGACAGCAGCATAAAAGTGATGAGTAATGCAATACATATGCTTTCACAGTTAACCTCTCAGCAGTTCAGGAGACAGGTAGAGGCAGGTGTTACTGTCCCTCCAGGCCATGCTTGGTCCAGCGAAAGTTTTCCAAATACTCAGAGTGTCAGCTCAGGCTCAAATGTGGCCTCCCAAGGCTGACCCCACCTGAGAAGGACCTGTGTGTTCAGCTGGATTCTACTTCCCTGCTGGGGAAGAGGCTGACCTCCAGACCTGCCAGGTTGTTTTTTGTTGTTTTTCTAAACAGTACATTCAGGCCTTCCTTCCTCAACAAGGAGTCTGCTGTCATTTCTGCTCGGCATCTTGACTTAGGGCAAGATGTTTAAGTTTCTTCTTGCACTATTGATTAATATAACATTTATATCTGGAAAGGTAATATTATAAGATTAAATAGAATATATACCAGGCCCTGAAAAAACAAATTTTTACTTCAATTTTTGGTACATTACTTTCTACATGGATAGATCATTTTACATTTTTTTAATCATGCATACCTCAGTCCCAAAAGGGCTGTGAGTATATCTATTTTGGCTTAATTCCTTGGTATTTGGTACAATATCTCATGCAGAGCATGTGCTGAACGGATGATTGTTAAATCATGCTCTTTTATAATATGGGGTGTTCGTTTAGTATAATAAGAATGTTTCTCTATATTTCTGTATTATTAATAACTGTAATTTTTAATGGTTCTATAATGGTGCTGAATCATAATTTATTAAATGTCAATGCCATATGTTCAACCTGAACTGTCAAGTACTGGGTCATTTATTGGTTATAAGACCCTTGGCAAATTATTAACTTTTTAAAGTCCCATTTTCTCAAAGGTAAAATGGAGATAATATTACACACCTACTCGGGTTGCTGACTTATACTGGGATTTTGATGGTTTCGTTTGTTATTATTGTTGTTGCTTTTACTGTTTTAGATAACATTATAAACATTTTCTTGCACATTTCATTCAGCTTTAGTTTTGAATGGGATTACTAGATTAAGGAGGTAAGGACAACTTCAAGATTCAACGTGCATTTCTTTAGGAGTCAATATTTCTTAGAAAAGACGATGTGATTTTTTGCCCTCTCTGTAATACATATTTGTATATTTATCTCCAGAGTGTTTCCAAGTTAATGAGGAGGGGCACTGAAACCATCTCCAAGAGCCCCCGATTCAGAGCATTTGAAGAGTCTGAAGATATTTATTGGAGGCTGGGAACACTAGCGACCAACCCCATTAAGTGGAACAGAATAGATCTTTTACTTTCTGAGTGAAGGTTATCTGAGTAATAGTATAGATTATTAACAGAAATGATATCTTTTCTCCCAGATCCTGACAGAAAATCCAATGACATGGCCCCTATCAGAACACAAAGTCTCTGAGAGGCAGCATAGCTCCAGACAGTTCTTCCTTGGATGCTGAGTGAGACTTTGAGATCTCAAAGCCTAAAGGAGACGCTTTGCTTCCCTAACAAAGTACCACAAACTTAGTGGCTTAAGACAACCCAAATTTATTGTCTTACGGTTCTGTAGAAGTCTGACATGGGTCTTACTGGGCTAAAATGAAGATGTCGGCAGGGCTGCATCCTTTTCTGGAGACTTGAGGGAAGAATCAGTTTCCTTGCCTTTTCCAGCTTCTAGAGGCTGCCCAAATTCCTTGACTTGTGCATGGTCAGGAGCCCTGGTGGTGCAGTGGTTAAGTGCTTGGCTGCTAACCAAAAGGTCAGCAGTTCGAACCCACCAGCCGCTCTGTGGGAGAAAGATGTGGCAGTCTGCTTCCGTAAAGATTTATAGCCTTGGAAACCCTGTGGGGCAGTTCTACTCTGTCCTCTAGGGTCGCTATCGGCAATGGGTTTTGTGCAGGGTCCACTTCCTCCATCTTCAAAGTTGGCAGCATCAAATTTCTCTCTGACCCTTCTCTAATAGTTACGTCTCCCTAGGACCACAAGCGGGAAAAATTCTCTGACTTTAAAGGACTCACAATTAGATTGGGCCCATCTGGATAATCCAAAATAATCTCCCCTTCTCAAAGTCCTTAACCTTAATCACATCTGTAAAGTTCCTTTTGCTATGTAAGGTAATGTATTGATAGGTTCCAGGGATTCAGATATAGACATCTTTGTGGGGAGGAGGGAAGCGTGGCATTATTTTGCCTACCACAAGACCTAACATGGAATTTTAGAAACGATATATGCATTCACAGAACATATAATATTATTCATTCACTTACATAATTAATGACTAGACTAAGTGAGTCAACTGCAAAATTCAGTGTGAACTCAGAGAACTCCTCTTCATCACCCAGTCATATTCAGAGAAAATTCTCTGAATGCCACATAGTCTCTCCATCATCTTTGACACTAAGGCTGGGCCCACAACTCTGGACCATTGAAACAGCCTGTCTCCCTTCCTGTCCAAGTCCAAACTCTGCACAACCTCCTGCCACTATTGGGAGGTGGGGGTGGGGCAGAGGAGGTGGCACCAGGCAAGGAGAGAGGGAGGAGAGCAGGAGGGAGGCTCAAAAGGTAGACCTTGCACCTCTGAGGTTGCTGAGGATGCTCCTGTTCCCCAAGCTCTGGTTACAGGGTTCCTTTTGCAAGGACAATGTTTTCTTCCTTGTTCATCCCCGTCTCTTTGCCTCTTGCTGGATTTTGCCCACCTAGATCTTGTGTTTGGGAAAAGTTCCCCTGGAGAGGCTGTATGATGAGTCAACCTGCCAACATGTGGTGTATGTGTGTGTGTGTGTGTAAGACTAGATTAGCTGAAGTTCTTGAAGTTCTCCCCCCCCCCATTCACAACTAAAATGAATAGAAACACAAAGGAGACTAATGAGGGATGTTCAAATTTCTCTCTAGAAAGCCTTCAAAGTGAAGTGTGGACTGAGAGAGGCCACTGAGTCCCAGGATATGGATTTGACTGCAACACTGGCAGCAAAAGAATTTCTTTTGTGGGGCTATGTTGGGTTTCTTTTGTGGTGCTATGTATGTCTGAGATTCAGGAGCCATTACAGCTGACTCTGAATCAGCTTTTCACAGACTGTAAAAGCACGTTGGTGCCAGGTCCTTTTTTAAGTCCTACAACGCAGGTTTCAGACATACCATTAGATGGCAGCCGAGCTTGGGGCCCTCAGCAGCACAGCAAAGCGGAACAAAAGCTTCCCATGAGAGGTGGTCTAAGGCATTTCTGCGGAGTTGATCCTATCACACATCCGGAGAGGGGCTTTCAGAGTTCTACCTGATAAGACACATCCACTCCTGCCCTTGGCTTTGCTTAATTCCATTTTGGTTTCCACCGTGAGCTAACCAAGGAAGTTTTTGCTCTGTACCTGGGGACTGTTGAAAGGAAAAGTATGTCTTCTCCAATGAAAGCCAGTTTGTTTTACAATTCTATTTTGTTTATAGATAGCATGGAGACCAGTTGGGTGTGAATTTTGATTCTCATTTTCTGGGGCAAAGTGCTCTCTTGGCCTCAGTTTTCTTATTTATAAAACGAAGCTAATAATCCCTGCCACATCGAGTTATCTAAGAGTAAAATGAGATTATGGTGTGAGGTCTGTGGTACAGTGCCTGGCCCTTAGTAGCCATTTTCTATCGCACGTCTCCACCAGATGGAGCAGGGGTTCTGTCTTACTCACCTTTGTCCCTCAGCTATCACAGTGACTGGTGTGGAGACAGTCTTCCATGCGTGTTTTGTGTCTTTCCAGGTTTTTTTCTTTTTTGTTGTTGTCATTGTTTCCCTTTCATGGATGTTTTGAACAAATGAACAAACGAGTTCACAGATGGAGCTTGTTCACACAGATTTTAATCAACTAATCTCCTATTGCTGAAAGACTACATTTTGTGGAGGATTCAAAATATTCTATTACACAACTCCTGCTGCTGGTTGTAACAATCTGGAGGGGAAAAGATGAATTAAAACACATTTAAGAATGAACATGGAAGATAATAAATGAAAAGTGATTTAAAATATATGATAGGGACTGTAAGTTTATAGTTTCTCCAACAGGGCTCATCGGGCTGTTTCTCAAATTCTGAAATCCATGGTGTTAGTTTACATCTATGTTGTTTGTTGATAGTAGGCTGTTATCAGATCCTGGAAATGTTGATGAGGAAGAAAGGGGCTAATTTTGCAGCAGGAACATTGTGACTAGAAGGCAGATCTGCGTGGGAATCCAGTAGGCATCATGAGAGCACCACCTCCGCTGAGGAACAGGATGGAGGTGCCTGGAGATAGGAAAACAAAGTCAAGAATGGGAAGTGAGAGGACATTGACAACACCATTTTGCTGATGATTTATTTTTCCTTCCAGGTATAAATAAAGTTAGAGAATTTATTGGAAACTACCTTAAAATTGTTCTAACTTGAGCAGAAAGGGCCACATAAACCAGAGACTGCATCAGCCTGAGACCAGAAGAACTAGATGGTGCCCGTCTATCACTAATGACCGTCTGACAGGGAACACAACAGAGTGTCCCTGATGGAGCAGGAGAAAAGTAGGGTGCAGAACTCAAATTCTAGCAAAAAGACCAGACTTAATGGTCTGACTGAGACTGGAGGAACCCCAGAAAGCATGGCCCTCAGACTCTCTGTCAACCCAGAACTAAAACTGTTCCTGAGGCCAACTCTTCAGACAAAGATTAGACTGGACTATGGGACATAAAATGATACTCGAGAAGAGAGTGCTTCTTAGCTCAAGTAGATACATGAGATTAAATGGGCAGCTCCTGTCCAGAGGTGAGATGAGAAGGCAGAGAGGGTCAGGAGCTGGTTGAATGGACATGGGAAATCAGGGGTGGAAAGGAAGAGTGTGCTGTCACAGTACAGAGAGAGCAACTAGGGTCACATAACAATGTATGTATAAATTTTGTATGAGAGACTAACTTGAATTGTAAACTTTCACTTAATGTACAATAAAATAAAAATAAAAAAGTTGTTCTGACTTGATCTTACACCCAGTGTTTAAAAACAAAACAAAACAAAACACCCAAATCCGTTGCTGTTGAGTTGATTCTACTCATGGCAACCCCATGTGTTCAGACTAGAACTGAACTCCATAGGGTTTTCTTAGCTGTAATCTTTATGGAAGCAGATCACCAGGACTTTCTTCCATGACACTGCTGGGTGGGTTTGAACTCCCAATCTTTAGGTTAGTAGTCGAGTGCAAACGATTTGCTCTACCCAGGAACCTTACACCCAGTATGGGAGCTTTTATATAGTATCTGATGAGCCTGTTGCTGTTGAGTCGATCCTGACTCACAGTGACCCTACAGGACAGAGTAGAACTGCCCCAGGGAAGAGCTGGTGGATTTGAATTGCTGACCTTTTGTTTAGCAGCCGCAGCACTTAACCACTATGCCATCAAGGCTCCAGTATCTAACTAGAGGCATCCAAATCCCTGCTTAAACACTTTTAAGAGCAGGGTACTCACTATTACGGAACGAAGTCATTTCTTCAGTAGACAGTTTTAATTATAATAATTAATTCAAAATTTCCCTCTAGCTTGCACTCATTGATGTTGGTTCTGCTCTCTGGAGCCACATACGTTAAGTTTCATCCCTCTTCCATAGGACGTCTCTTCAGAGTGCCAAGAGCTGCTATCACATCTTTCTTAAGTTTTTCTCTCGAAATGTCCCCACTACCTTCCAACATTTTTCCAATGATTCTTTGCCTCTGCTAGACCACCAAACTACCTGGAGCTAAAGGAGTGAGCACCAGGAGGCCATCTTGTGCCTTGGCTCCCTCTGCTATTCCATGACCCAACGGTAGATGGCGCTGTGGTCAAGCCCCATACGACAGGTTCCATTCCGACCACTCCGTCTAAGATGGTTCTGACGTAAGTCTAATATCTCTTTTTTTTCTCCCGGTTTCATTATTATTGCCTTTTATTATCAGTATCTTTATAAATCTGATTTTTATTTGTCTTTGAGGTTGGCATGAGAATGATAACAACAGCCAATTATGCCCTGCAACATTGTACGTAGTACAAAATTACGATGATGGACCAAAAATAAAAACAAAAAACCCTGTTGCTTGTAAGTGCAGTTTGTAGTAACTCGAATATGTGGTAAGTCGGGGATTACTTGAACTCTAACTTGAAGATTGCCCACTTCCCCTAAGACGTCATCAGTGCTAACCCCATCATGCTTCATATCCCATATCCCTGTTTTCCTTAGTGACCACCAGAAGTCCAAATCCCAAACTCTGCGATGATTCAATAGTACCCTGACCTCATCCCCATCCTGCTCTGTGTATACCTTATGTGGACATCTGATGTTTTGTCTGTCCAGGATCCTGCCTCTTTTCTCTTTACAGTTTTCCCCTGAGGAACCTCTTCCCTACTCCCCAACATGTGGTTCTGGTGGAGCTGGACCTACTAGGGGTAGGCAATGGACACAGGCCTGGCCCTTCAGAGATGTACCCTCAATAAACACAATGGATGATTCAGGGTTGAGATTTCACTGGGTGGCACAGTGGTTAAGAGCTTGGCTGCTAACCATAAAGGTTAGTAGTTCAAATTCACCAGCCGCTCCTTGGAAACCCTATGGGGCAGTTCTACTCTGCCCTGTAGGGTCGCTATGAGTCAGAATCCACTCGATGGCAATGGGTTTGGTTGGGTTTGGTTTGAGGACCATGCTCACTTGGAGCTGTTGGGGAGCCATTTACTGCTGCGTGGGGAGAGGCTGCCCGAGGACATAGCCGACACAGAAGAAAGCAGAGTGGAGAGACTGAAGAAGACCATCTTGAGGATGTGGTTTGTGTCCCTGGATCCAACTGGAACTAAAGCTGGCAGTCCCACTGGACTTACAGTTATATGATCAAATACATTTTCTTTTCTTTTGCTTAATCTAGTTTGAGTTGGATTTATGACATGTGAAACTCAAATGTCCTAATATAATCCCTAACTTGACTCAACGTCGCACTCCTGCCCTCTGGGGGCCATTTCTTTGTGCCCTCTTGGAACACTTGTTGAGTGATGGGCACATTCCCTATATTCTCACCCTCTTCCTTAAATATTCCCTCCGCCTCCATTCATTGTGTGAAACCTGGCTCTCTCTTCAGGATCTGTTTCCAGGCAGCCCTCTCAGAAGGTGGTTTTTTTGTTTGTTTTGTGTTCTCTTTTCTCATCCTCCTGTACCTCAAGACCATGAAGTGAATAGGAGCCCTTCTTGCTTTCTATTGCCATTTTAAAAACACTTCTCTTCCTTCTATTTCAAAATCTCCAGTTTCTTTCAAACTCAGTTTCTGCTTCTCCTTGTTGCTGTTCTCTAACAATCTACTGGTCTGATCACTGCCACATACTTGTTGAAGACTTTAGCTCTAGGCTCATTGATTTTTCTGTCCCTGTTCTAGCCAACATTCTCAGGAACTTTACCATCCATGTGAATGATTCTTCCAACACCCTAGTCTCCACACCTCAGCTGCCTTAGACCCTTTTTTTACCAACAGCCATATCACATCCAAAATCTCAAGTTCAAGCATCCCACTTTGTGACCATCATCTTTTATCCTTACAGTTTGCTTACTCTAGTATTCCCAATGCAAACATTAGTTGGACAGGAGACTGCCAATTCATGCAACCACAGATTCTGGATTCCTTGGATCATCATTATAATCACTAGCCTGAAAATATTCTAAACTCTCTTGTCTATCTTTTCTTCCACTTTGCTGCAACTTTCTATTGCCAATGTATTTACACTGGAAACTGGATTTCCCAGAATCTCTTTCTCTGTATGATTTGAGGTTAGAGTTGGCCAGAAGTGAAACTGCATAAGATTTGGGTTGTTGGTTAGAGGCAGTGAGAGGCAGACACAGAAGTGCCAGAGTTTCTAATCTGTGCTCACTCATCCCGTCTCTGAATTCAGCTCTTTTCCCTACTGCTGACCCTGTTAACCATCAGCAGCCCTGGGCCCACCTCCAGATAATCTGGTGCAAACTCATAGAGACAATGGCTATGGAGAACCAACAGTCTTTCATGAACTTCTACACCAGCCCCATCGTGGTCCTACTAAGAAGCTGGATGTATTTACCAGTAGCTAGTTGCTACCAAGTGAATTCTGACTCATGGCAACTCCATGTGTGTCAGAGTAGAACTGTGCTCCATAGGGTTTTCAATGGCTGATTTTTTGGAAGTAAATTGCCAGGACTTTCTTTTGAGGTGCCTTTGGGAGGACTCAAATTTTCAGCCTTTCAGTCATCAGCCAAGTGCATTAACTATTTGTACCACCCAGGATATGACTAGCTTCCAGATATCCCTGCAAATGCCCAAGGCTGGTTAGTGGTTTTTCTCTGATACTTTTATTTCCCCAGCTTCTCCCACAATTGTGTAAGCTCTAATTACTATATTCAGTTCCTTATTTTGCAATACTCTCGTAGCTCAATCACAACCACTCACTTTCTTTGAGCCTGCCCTAGAGAGGCTGAATATTGCTGGAGAAAAATATACAACCCAACTGACAGCAGAAACCTTGGTGGCACAGTGGTTAAGTGCTATGGCTGCTAACCGAAAGGTTGGCAGTTCATATCCACCAGGCGCTTCTTGGAAACTCTATGGGGAAGTTCTACTTTGTTTTATGGGGTTACTATGAGTCAGAATAGACTTGACGGCAATGGGTAGTGGTAACAACTGACTGGTCATACTTTAATTCATGACTACATAATTGTCATCTGTTTTTGTCTGTCCAGAATCCTGTCCATCTTCGTTGGGTAATAACATCACAGTTTTGCTCGATGAAGTATTGATTTCCCATCGAATATGGTCTTAGTGAGACTTTCAATCAATTCATTACTCTCCTTTGACTCAATCTGGGCCAATAAGATGCTCTCTCCTTGGAATATGAATGTGGAGGGCTGAAACCCATTCAAGCACGAGTCGCTGTCATTGGGATCCTCATTGCTAAGCTAGTCTCTGGAACTCTGGTTCTTCAGCTTTTCCTATGTCCATCTGAACTATTCTCCATTCTTCCCATAGATTGCTTTCTTGTTGAAATTAGTCATAGTTAATGTCCAAGGCTTGCAATCAAAGAAAGATCAGCCATAAACCTCAAATGGGCATTCAAATCTTACCAGCAATCCTGCTAATTTTACCCAGTAAATATGGATTCTCACTTTTCAGGCCAGTTATTTCATATCTTTCCTCTCTTTTCAAACGTACCTCCTGCTCTACCCAACTTCAGTTTCATGCTTCATTAAGAAAATGGAAGCATTCTGATACCTTCCTATCACTAAGTCTACAAACCTACTGGCAGCTGAACTCATATTTTCTGTTTTCTTTCTAGTTACAGTGGAAGAAGCTACCCTGTTCCTATCAAAGGCCAAGTCCTCCACTTGTGCTCTCAACCCAAGTGGAGACTTGACATTTCAAAGACTACGTGCCTGTGGTCATCCACCCTCCCTCTCTGCTGAATCGTTCCTGTTGTGGATTGAATTGTGTCCCCCCAGCCCTGGTAGTGCAGTGGTTAAAAGGTCAGCAGTTCAAATCCACCAGCTGATCTTTGGAAACCCTATGGGGCAGTTCTACTCTGTCCTATAGGGTCTCTATGGGTAGGAATCAACCCAAGGGCAATGGGTTTATGCTCGTGGATGTAATCTCATTTGGAAATAGGGATTTCTTTGTATGTTAATAGGCCATGTCAGTGTGGGTTGTGTCTAAAATCAATTACATTTGAGATGTAAAATGAGCAGAATAGGCACAGAGAAGCAAGCAGAGACCACAAGAAGATCTCCAAGGAACTGAGGAACAGAAGCTAAAAAGAGACAAGGACCTTCCCTCAGAGCCAACAGAGAGAGAAACCTTTTCCTGGAGCCAGTGCCTTGAATCTGGACCTGTAGCATACTAAACAGATGTTTACCTGTATTTTATTGACTATGCAAAGGCATTCCACTGTGTGGATCATAATAAATTATGGATAACATTGCAAAGAATGGGAATTCCAGAACCCTTCATTGTGCTTGTGAGGAATCTGTACATAGACCATGAGGTAGTCATTTTAACAGAACAACGGAATACTGCATGGTTTAAAATCAGGAAAAGTATGTGTCAGAGTTGTATCCTTTCACCATACTTACTCAATCTGTATGCTGAACAAACAATCTGAGAAGCTGGACTATATGAAGAACTGGGCATCAGGATTGGAGGAAGACTCATTAACAACCTGCGTTATGCAGATGACACAAGCTTGCGTGCTGAAAGTGAAGAGGACTTGAAGCACTTACTGATGAAGATCAAAGACTACAGCCTTCAGTATGGGTTACATCTCAACATAAAGAGAACAAAAATCCTCACAACTGGACCAATGGACAACATCATGATGAAATGAGAAAAGACAGAAGTTGTCAAGGATTTCATTTTGCTTGGATCCACGATCAACACCTATGGAGGCAGCAGTCGCGAAATCAAACGATGCATTGCATCGGCACATCTGCTGCAAGAGACCTCTTTAAAGTGTTAAAAAGCAAAGATGTCACTTTAAAGACTGAGGTGCGCTTGACCCAAGCCATGGTGTTTTTAATCACCTCATATGCATGCAAAAGCTGGGCAATTAATAAGGAAGAAGGAAGAAGAATTGACAGTTTTTAATTATGATGTTGGTGAAGAATATTGAATATACCAAGGACTGCCAAAAGAACGAGCAAATCTGTCTTGGAAGAAGTACAGCAAGAATGCTCCTTAAAGAGAGGATGGCAACTTTGCCTCACATACTTTGAACATTTCATCAGGAGGGATCAGTCCCCAGAGAAGGACATCATGCTTGGTGAAGTAGGTCATCGGAAAAGAGGAAGACCCTCAAAGCGATGGATTGACACAGTGGTTGCAAAGATGGGCTCAAGCATCACAACGATTGTGAGGATGGTGCAGGACTTGGCGTTATTTCGTTCTGTTGTACATAGGGTTGCTATGAGTCGGAACCAACTCGAAGGCATCTAACAACAAAGTGTACTAAATTGTAAGAAAATAAATTTCTGTTTGTAAAAGCCACCCACTTGTGGTCTTTCTGCTGTAGCAGCACTAGATAACTAAGACAATTTTCCTTCCGCTACTAGATCCTTTCCATCAGTGCACAAATGCATCCTCATACCTTCCATCTTTTAAGATATATCCTTCCTTGACTCTGTATCCTCCACTAGCTACCATCCCATTCTCAGCTCCTTACTCACAGCAAACTTCTGGAAAGAATTGTTTCTACTTTCTTACCTCCCATTCTCTCTTCAACTCACTCCAAACAGACTTCTATTCTCAATTGTTGTTGTTGTTTTCGAGTGGTAAGATTATCAATAATTTTTTCATTCTTTTTACTTGTCTCTATCTTTAACATTTTTACAGTGAGTATGTAGTGTACATACTGTAAGAAAAAATTGAAAATCATTTTAAGAACTCTCATAGATTTATTAAAAGCCTTATAAACATTCACGTCCTTTAACAATATGAATTCCATTTTGGAGACTTAGTCTAAGGAAACAATTCAAGTTGCAGAATATGCTTTAATATAAGGATGTTAATGCAATGTTATTTATAATAATATAAAGTTGGAAAGTATCTAACAATGCAGGAATAATTAGATAAAAATATATCTCCTAGTTAAAATCAGAGGTAGACCTTTAAAATTGTGTTTATAAAGTCTATAATAAGAATGAAAAATGCTTATGAAATAATCTTAAGTAAGAAAAGTAGAATAAAATGATATTCTGATTACAACTGTTATTTTTAAAAAGCAAAAATTGATGCATTAAAAATAATGTGGTATGTAGAAGGGTGATTGTTTTGGGTGATTAGACTTAGGGTCATGGTAAAATGTTATTTTGACATTTCTAAATCTTTCCAAATATAAGCATTTATTATTTGTGTACATAGAAAAAACATGCAGTTGTTTTTTTTTTTAATAGAAAGTACCTGGTATATAGGAGGCAGACTGATGAGTTGAGCTTATCTCTTTCTGGAGACCCTCCTAGGGCTGGGTGGACACAGGAGTGATAAACTGCTGTCCTTATCAAGGGCCTAGCTCCAGAGTGGGGCCCCCTGGCTTCCAGTTACTCATTGTCAGATGGACACGCTCTCTTCCAGCCCAGGATGTGGGTCTCTCCTAGGGTTACCTGAGATCTCCAGAGAGCTTGGGAGGGCTCCTTGTATCAGCTCATTCTTCCCCAGCCCGCCCCAATCAGAAAAATCCCTTTGTTAGATTCATTGCCACCTTCCCCTACTCCTTCTCCATGGGTACTTTGTCAGTAGCCCGTTTGATAATGCTGATGATGATGGATGACAATAGCTTACTCAGATCCTAAGACATGTCAATCATATTACACACTATTTCAGTTCATCCTCACTATATATATATATATATATATATGTATGTATACACACACACCTTTACACACACGCTTTATGAGATATGTACTGTTATCCTCACTTTACAGATGAGGAAGCTGAAATTTAGAGAGGTTAAGTAATTTCATCAAGATCACACAGCTAGTAAGCTCTGAACTGATTATCAGCCTGTCTTGCTGCACCTAGCACATTGCCTGACACACAGGATGTACTCAATAAAGGTCTGCTGACTAAAGTGAATTCCTCTAAACTTCTAGTTGTTGTTGTTGTTAGGTGCCATGGAGTCAGTTCCGACTCATAGCAACACTACGTACAACAGAATGAAACAAGGCCCACTCTTGCGTCATCCTCACAATCGTTGCTATGTTTGAGCCCATTGTTGCAGCCACTGTGTCAATCCATCTCGTTGAAGGTCTTCCTCTTTTTCGATGACCCTCTACTTTACCAAGCATGTTGTCCTTCTCCAGGGACTGCTCCCCCTGATGTCCAAAATAAGGGTCTGAGAATGGGAAAAGCATTGCCTAGAGCACGCCCTGCATATTTCTCAGAGAAGAACATTTTGCTGTTAAGTTCTTGAAATGGTTTGTCTGTGTTATCCGCAGCCTTATTGTAGAATTCCATGAGCTTGAGTCCACAGGAAAGAGGTTCCCTACTGATTGTCTGGAAGCTGTCATTGCCCGGGGATAGTCCCAGGCCAGCTCATCAGGGAGCCACAGAGGAAAGCAGCAGGCCCTCCCTAAACCCCACGCCTCTAAGTTGGGCTTCATGATGCTATAAAATGCGATTTAAACCCATACTCAACTTTCTTCAGGGATTGATATCTGGCAATTTCCCTGGCCTTCCTCTGATATATATTGAGTACCTACCGTGTTGGCTAATTTTATGTGTCAGCTTAGCTAGGCTATAGTGCCCATTTGTTTAGTCAAACACTCCATAACATGGGTGGGCCTGATCCAGTCAGTTAAGGACCATAAAAACAAAAACTGAAGTTTCCTGAGCCAGAAAGGTTTTGCCTCAAGACCGTAAATAGACACCCTGCTGGAACTTGCAACCTGCTGCCTGGCCTACAGGTTTTGGACACAAGACTGCTAGAGCCTCCAGCCTGTCCTCCGGCCTATGGATTTTGGACTTGCCAGCCCCCACAATTACGTAAGCCATTTCTTTAGAATAAATCTCTCTCTCATATATATATAT